CTAGCCCGTGTTACCTTCCTCAAGTGCTTGGATTTACCACCTCTCACTAGGCTTTACTACCAATGCCACTCCTCTCGAAATTGACTACATCTCTCCCAACCACTTTTCTAAGTGTCCTTGTGTATTATAACGTGTTCTCAACAATGATAAGCTCAAATAAATGTTTGTTCTCTAACTAGGATGAGAACGAAATCTAAGCTCACTCAATGATACAACCCCACAACCCAAATGTATACAATATGTGAAATACTAAAGCTCAATGGTTGTGTGTGTAAGCAATGAATAAAATAAAATTTAACTTAAATCAATCTAGTATAAATATATAAGAAACAAAATGATAAATAGCTAGAATATGAGTTAAGAAAACTTCTCCAAGAACAAGAGATGTAAGTGTTGAGGATGAAAGCCTCAAGCTTAAAATTGAAACCCTTCTCTTGTGAAAACCTCTTCACATAAATAAAATTTTGATATTTTAAAACTTGAAATAAACAGCCAAAAAATAATTGTAAAACTCTTAAGAAAAACAAAAGCAAGAGGGGTATTTATATCCTCAAAAACCAAGCAGCCAAAAACTAGCCGTTATATAGAAAATAGCCGATTGGCCGACTGACGATGTGTATCGGTCAACTGATAATGTGACCGTTGGCTGAACTGGGAGATTCTAAAATTTTGCGTAGCTGACTTTCTAAAAACAATTAAAAATAGCAAATCAACTCCAAAAATTATGAAATTTTGCGGAATGTTTCTACACTTGAAGATAAACATTTTAGAGAAATAATTTCTAAAATATCACTTTCTATTTGTGAGAACTTACTGTTTTAAAACAGATATTCCAGATTCTGAAAACTGTTGAACACTTGATTTTGTAAAATCGATTTAACATAGTAAATCAACTTTAAAAATGATAAAATTTTGGGAAATGTTTATAAACATGATATTGAACATGTTAGAAAAATAATTTTTCAAATTACATTACCCATTTGTGAAAACTCCTGTTTTTGCAAGCCATTCAAAAATGCGAAAAACGTTAAAACTTGATTTTGATAAAATTTCTTTAAAAAAGTTTTGAAACACTTTATAGATTTATAGACTTGTGGAAAGATATAAAATCGTGACGTTAAGTCTATAATCTAAAAACGATGATAAATCAAAAACCAATGTGTGTGTATGAATTTTAAGCTTGAAGTATAAACACACAAAGTAAACACCTAACCTACAAAACTATACCCAAGATAAAAATCTTCATTAAGCTCGTCTTGGTTGTGGGGATGAAGCGATAATGTCTTTGCCTTGAAT